TGGGGTTGTTAACCAATGTTATAAAACAACATGTGTACTTCTGTTTCATGAGAAACTATTTGTTCTGTAAGCCTTCACCTGAAGTACAATAAAAAAAAAAACATGAGCAATAGAGATCTGCCTGTTTTGGAAGTAGAGTTTCCTAGGGAACCTGGGTTGCTATGGATGAAAATGTATACATATATAGCAAGTCACTCAGTAATGACATTTAAGTGTACTCTCAACAGAGTTTGGAACCCTTCAAGGTTTCTTTCAGTGAAAGTTTTAGTGTGTGAATGTATAGGAACAGAAACTTTTTGCTTCCATTTGTAAATTAATCCACCTGGTTTTATTCAATATGAACTAAGAAATTTTTGTCACTTTAGGCTAGTGAAACAGAGACTGAAGGAATTTGAGTCAAAGTTCTTATGGTAAGCAGAAATAAGCTTTTTATCAAATTTCTCTGTGATGGTGTTCACGTCCTACATAGCCCGTCAGCCTGTGAATATAATGGATTTTACTCTTGTCATTAGGTGATGGTGTATGGTACATGTTGACTTTAAGAAGTGCAAATTACCCTGATGGGCATTTCCTAATCACATGAACCTTTTAAAAGCAGAACGTTTTCTCCAGCCGGTGGCAGAAGAAGTCAGAGACAGTAGAAATAAGAGAAGGATTTGTTGCACCACTGCTGGCTTGACTATGGAGGAGGGTACATGGAAAGGTCCCAAAATAGCCTCTAGGACCTAAGAGTGCCCACCTGGCTAACAGTCCTTCAGAAAATGGGGACCTCAGTTCAAAACCCACACAGTTCTGGATTCAGCCAACAATCTGGATGAGTTCAGTGGCTCCCCAGAGACTCCACATGAGAATGCAGCTCCTCTGACAAGTCATTTTCAACTTGTGAAACACTGAGTAGAAAACTGAGCCAGCTTGTGTAGACTCTACCCTACAGAACCCTGAGCTAATAATGTGTGTTGCTTTGTAGCTATGTTTGTGACAATTTGTTTGTAGCAATTGAAACTAATAAAGGGCCCATCTTTAGTGAAAAAAGGTGAACTGCAGTCCTGCAAAGCTCTGTCACTCACTAGAATCCAGGTTCCTCCTACCAGGATATGAGCCATAGGGTAAAAAGGTAGACTCTAAGCATCATTCTGGAAGGACAGGCATTAATCTGTTGCCATCGAGTCGATTCTGACTCATAGCGACCCTGTAGGACAGAGTAGAAATGCCCCATAGGGTTTCCAAGGAGCACCTGGTGGATTTGAACTGCCAGCCTTTTAGTTAGCAGCTATAGCTCTTAACTACTATGCCACCAGGGTTTCCAACCCTTAAGGCCAGGCATTAGGAAGGATAAATACTAAGACACAATACCATGAGATTCTTCTGGAATTCCCTCTTGTCATCCTTGAAGGAGTGCTCCATGAAGAGTGCAATGGCTTCCCTCTCACAGGCCGCGTGCACGTCCAGCAGCTCCTGGAGGGTGTCTGTGGGAAACCTCATGCACTGGGCCATCTGTTTGCTGTAGTGGTCAGCTGCCTTCTGCACAGCTACCGAGTTCTCACACTGGGCCAGAGTTGTCACTGTATCCTCTAAACAAGGCACTGCTCCACTGTTGATGGTATCCACATAGGTCTCCACCAGAGTCCCAAGCCCTGAATGAGCCAGGAAATTTACGTATAAAATTAAGTTCTCACCCAATGGTTTACAAGCTTTAGGAATTTACATTCTAAAAATTATGAAAGAGCTGATTATAATGAACTTCTATTTATTTTCTTCTTTTATGAATTCATTTCCATCTAAAAACATCATTGTTTTCCTGTTCACTCTTTCATTTTTGTTTCCCCATTCATCTCATTATAATTAAAATTACTGATCACAGTCAGTATGCTCAGAGTATCCTAAAATATATTTTCCCCTTAAATAAAAAAGGAGTAGATTAGATAGGTGAATTCAAGTACACAATCAAGACCAGATACCTAATTTGTTTGGCCCAGCACAAAATGAAAATGTGAGATGCCTTGTGGAAAAAAAAAAATCATCAAGAACTTGATAATACTGACAAAAAGCATTGCACGAAGCATAAGTTTCTTCTGACATTGGGGCCTTTCTGAAATTCGGGTTACTACATTCCTTCACATGTCACAGGGCCATGAAGACAGCCCAGTGTATAAGATTATACTTCATTTTGTTTCTCAACGTCTCAAGCGGTGTGCAGGGACTCATAGCCTGCTATTTATTTTCTCGTTGGTGTAAATTCACAAAATATATTTTCTACCCTTGTTGAGAAGCACTCATCCCACAGGACTTGTCCTCACAATGCAGACATTCTGTCTTTAATTCCATTTTGTCTCTTTATAATTAGTGGATTTGGATCTTCGAATGTATTAGGCTTCATGAAACCCTCAGGTATGAAGACTTTAATTAAGAAAAATGCATTTCTATGTGTGGCATGAGCATCTGATTCTCTGCATTCACATACAGATGCAAACAAAATTACTGACAAACCCACAGAACAATCACAGCTTCACACACACTGATCAACAGAGGGATGTGCTTTGGGACAAAGGTGACTCACGGTTTCCATTAATGACGATTCCCTCTCTCAGGGTCTTGATCTTTGCATGGCTGAAGATATAGGAACAGAAGTTTTTTAATTTCACCTGGAAATTACAATCCAGCTTTTCTTCCAGCACTCCCTCAATCTGGTGTAAGAGATTATTGTCACGTGTAGGTTGGTCAAAGACAAAGCATTTCCGTTTGGGGAAGAAATTCTTTATACACTCTCTAGATAGGTTGGAATTTTGGATTTTGGGATTCACACCTGCAGAAGTGGAAAAAGAGCAATCATTGAAGGGACAGCTTTCAGGCTGTCCTGTCAACTTTTATTTCCAGGGATCTTTGTGGCTTTTGACTCTTAACCAAAAGGTCAGCAGTTCGACTCTATCAGCTGCTCTTTGAAAACCCTATGGAGCAGTTCTCCGCGGTCTTATGGGATCGCTAAGAATCGGAATCAACTCAATGGCAATGGGTTTGCATCACTGCAGCTCCTGTGCCTCTAAATCTTCCTTTATCCAATCATGTGGTACCTCATGACAAATCAGCCCTGTGCTAATCTACCAAAGGCAGAAAAATCCATTTCTGTACAGAGCCAAGAGACAAGGAAGTATTTCTGGAGAGGAAGGGAAAGCATCGATCTCAAGTGAGGAAATTTTTGTATGGTTTCCTCTACACACTCACATGGATTCTGGTGGATTAGTACTTAACAAATGTTTATTGAATGATTGACTAATGGAAAAACTAATCAGCAGTTCTTTTCTGATCCTAGTGTCTCCATCCATGTCAGAAATGAAAGGTGGGCCCTAAAATAAAGTAATACCAGAAATAAGGGTAAGATACTGCTTTTGAAAATATCAGGAGTAAGAGAGATAATACCCAAGACAGTAATAAAAAAACTTTTAGAAATTGTAGTCACCAGAATACAAATACTACAGATATGTTTAGGAATTCCTTTAGCAGAAACTTCCAAAAAGTAATGTTAACTAATGTAGTTTGGAAAAGTCACCAGTTCTCTATCTGCTTGAATCAGACTTGACAGTGCCCTACAGAGTGATGTTGTAGTAAATATCAGCGGTTCAACAAATATTTGTTGCTAGAATGAATAAATTTATGCCCAAATTAAAATGGATATTCCTTCCAGGTGTCACAGTTGTCCACTCACTTAAATATTATTATACAGTTAATTTATAATATTAAAATAGTAACATAATGTGTAAGGTTGTAAAAATGAAGGGAGTGAAGTTATGAGAAAGGTAGAATGAAGTATTTGTAAGTCTTACTAGGAGAATGTTGATTTTTTTTTTCTGGAACATTCTTGGTATAAATATCCTTTCTATGAAAGATATAGCATTGTGATTTGGTGTTTATTAAGTCCCAGTATGGTGAGCTATGTTTCTTAATATAGAACAAACGGAGCACTTAATAAGGAACATGAGTATGTGAGTATGTACACCTCAGGAATTTAGAGCATTGATTGCAATCTGGGAAATTTTTTTTCATGGTATGGTATCAATTGATACAAAGTAATATAATAATAGAGGCAGAGCCAACATGGTGCTATAGACAGAAGCATGATGCAGCATCCCTCTGCAGCAAAGACCCAAAAAACTGAGTAAAACAGATACAAATATCAATCCTGGAACCCTAATCATCAAGTGAAGGAATGAAGAATGCAATTAAGCATCAAATGGAAGAAGAAACTGACAGAGAATAGAGAACAGGAGAACTATGGCATGGAGGTTCCATACCAGCTAATGTAGCAAGGGTTTGCCATCTTGGAAAGCAACCACCAAAAATCATGGACAGGGAGCATGGAAAGGCAACTCCACAGAGCTCCCAACAAGGGACAGAGTACCCAGTAACCAAGGATATACACTTTCCCACCCCCTACCCTTCTTCCCTTTATGTGGCCACTTTCCAATGGGCCACGGTCACTCTGCTGGAGAGACACCAGCTCACGGCGGGTTTCCCCAGTGCCATTTTTTTTTTTTTGGTTATGTTTTTCTTTTTTTGTTTGTTTCTTCTCTCTCTTCCTTCTTTCCTTTCCTTTTTCCTGCCCAGCTAGCCCCATCTCTGCCCTTTCTCATTGGACTGTGTCACATCGCTTGGCTAGAGAGACAGCGGCACACATCCTCCCAGGGTCCCTGCTGCCCGCATCAGCCAGCTCCCTCAGCGCCTTTTTTTTAGTTTGCTTTTTTTTTTCCTGTTTCTTCTCTCTCTTTCACTTCCTTCCTTTCCTTTCTCCCACCCACCTAGCCCTGTGGGCCGTGCCAGCCCGTTCTCGAGAGGCCCCTTTGTACCACTCAACTAGAGAAACATTGGAGTACAGCCTCCCTGGGTCTGTACCACCTTCATAGGGCAGCTCCATCAGCCCCATATATATATATTTTTTAAATATTTTATTGTACTTCAGGTGAAGGCTTACAGAACAAATAGTTTCTCATGAAACAGTAGTACACATGTTGTTTTATGACATT